GCTTTCTCCCCTTTTTCTGGTCCTTTTAATCTCCCCTATCTTACCCCCTCGAGGCCCCCCAAGCCATGTGCCACTGAACTGTTTTATATGTTGTTGGATTTCTTTTTCTGAGGATAGAAAATTAATCTTTTCTTTTAGTTTATCCCATTGAGCTGAGATGGCTGTCTGCACTTGCATTTTGATTGAATCTGTAAATTTTGGGCCTTCCAACCTTGCTCCCTCCATTTCAGAAGTGCATCTGCGCCCCCATAGGGCCCAAAGAATTGCTCGTCTTCCAATTACAAATAAATTGTGAGAAAATTCATCAAACTGCTCCGGGGACCAGGTTTCACACAAAAGTGTTTTCCACTTCCACGACCAGGTGTGAGATGGGTTAATATTGGACCTGATCCTATCCCACCAGCGCCACAGCCAGACTGCACCTGGACATTGCAGGAGAATGTGTTCAATGGTTTCCGGAATCTTCCTAGCCGGAAAGTTTGAGCAGCACAGTTTACACCAAGGTAAAGCAACCCCTCTCTGCTCCAGCGTGGATCTATCAATGATCCAATCATTAGTTGGGAGGCATCGGTGATCTATCTGCCATTGTAGTGAGGCAACATTTGTCGGCTTGCTCTTTATCGTTCTGAACCATTTGATGTTTCTTAATTCCTCCTTGCTGACATTCAGTTGATTCATCCATCTTGCTTCCACTCTATCTTTCCGGTTTAACCTTGGTCTTAGCATCCGGTAGGTTGATTTTATTGTTAGTGTGTGAAGAGAGCGGCTGCATTTTCCTCTTCTCCCCATGGGGACCGTCCATATCCAGGATGTCCGGTCTAAAGCCAATTTATTAATCGCGCATGATGGTCTAAAGGCTAGCCAATGATCTTTGCACCTTAAGACTCTAATCCTGAACACTTGCTTTGTTGTGACCCATCTGGTTTCCTTTGATTGGCTTTCCTTAACTATATTGTCTTGTGTGAGCGAAAACACGGAGATAAGAATGGCCCCATCTGCGTTTGTCATTATTACATTTCCTATTAACTGTGATTCCCCTTGGATGCCCACCCAATCCCCTTCCTTGATTTGTGGCCCTTTCTTCAGAATCTTTACCCACTCTAGGGGGATAAAATCAATTATTCTCTCCAGAGCCTCTCCTGTCTTTCTACAATAGTGCAGGTTGGATTTGAGGTCTGGGAAAGGGCGCCAGTCCCGAATCTCTAGACTCCAGATATCCCCAATCCTGAGTATTCATTTTCTTATCCAACCCTTCCATGGGGAATCCATACAGTGAAGCATTCTACCCCGAGAGTCGGTGATCCATCTATTATTGAATAAAGGTTGTTGACATACTTCTTCCCACCGATTTGGGAAAACTTTGTCTGGAAGTGGCAGCTTGCGCCAAGTCCGTATTAGATCCCTCCAAAATGGGTCGTTTTTTAAATCTTCTCTTGTTGCTCGACGATGCGGGTCATTTTCTTGCGTTGAGGTCTGTATTTTTCCTTTTGGAATTGACCAGAAACGATTTTTTAGCCATATCATCAGGTATGTTCCCTCAAGAGTTAAAGGAGCTAGTCGTGATATTTGCTCCCAAGCTAGCTCTGACCAGGGCACGTTTGGATTGACAAGCAACCTTAGTATCCACTGAATGGAGAGTGTCATTGTTTGAGTAATAGGGTCCAGTATTCCCAAACCCTTTTTTATCTTTGGTTGGATTATCGCTTGCCAGACCACTCTGGTTATTACATTCTTATGGTCATGGTTACCTCTCCAAAGGTAAGCTGTAATTTGTCTCTGTAAGGATTTGAGAGCAAATTTGTCAAGAGACCATACTGCTGATTTATACCATATCGACGCAAGGATCACATTATTTATCATCAATGATCGGCCAATAATAGATGTTTTCTTGTCTTTCCATAATTCTAATTTAGCTAAGGCCGGCTTGGAGATCCATTCATTGTTTGTTGATGGTTTTCCTTCTGCAGATAAAGATATACCTAACACTCTAATTGGGGTTGTTAGTGGCCTCCAGTTGATCCTTGGTTGTTCTGGGGGTCTCACTCCCTGATGATGTATCCACCATCCTTGAGTTTTAGTTCCCCAGTTGATTCTTATGTCTGATAGTTCACAAAATTTGTTCATTAAAAGCTTGATTGCTATTAAATTATCAAAAGAGGCTTCTACCATCAAGGATAGATCATCAGCAAAGAGTGAACAGACAGGTATGGCTTCTTCTGGGATATAACTGGCCTGTATTCTTTTAATGTCTTTGTTGCATCTTAGATTAGCCGCTAGAGCCTCCATTACGAAAACGAACAAAAGAGGGGCAATCGGATCTCCTTGTCTCACTGATCGTTCGAGAGAGATCAGTGGTGCTAGGTTTCCATTTCTTATTACCCTGGTGGTGGCGTCTGAATGTAAAATCTCTATCCATTTCCTAAATCCAGGGCCAAAATTAAATTTTTTCAAACATTTGTCCAAAAAGAATCAATCCACATGATCATAAGTTTTCTCGAAATCTATGAAAATAAAAGCGGCATTATGTTTGGACTGTCTTTATAATTTAATTAATTTGTTAACCAATAGTATATTATCCTGAATGTTTCTGCCCTCGATAAATCCTGTTTGAGTAGGATGGATGATCTCAGTTGTTATTTTTAGCAAACGATTTGCTAACGCTTTTGCTGCCGATTTATATACCACTGAGAGAAGTGTGATAGGTCTGTAGTTACGAATATTTGTTTTGTCTCTATTTTTATATAACAACGTCAGCACCCCTTGGTTGACTACCTCCCCCATTCTTCCTGAGATCCATATTGCGTGGTAGAAATCCATGAGGTCTTGGACGATAAAATCCCACATTGTTTCCCAGAATTTTTTGGGTATTCCGTCTATACCCGGAGTTTTTTCCTCCTCCATCATCATGAGGACTGTCCATACTTCTTCTTTTGTTAGTGGTTGATCAAGCTTAGCTCTCTGTTACTCTGTTATTGTTTTATTCAGGGGCTGCAGGAACTCCTTAATCTCTTCCCTTCTTTGTTCCTTTTGTAGGTGTTTGCATTCCGAAGTGAAAAGATTCTTATAAAAATCTCTCGCAATTTTCGTGCATTCTGCCGTCGATGATACCATAGATTGATGATTGGTTTGGGGATCAGTAAAAGCTTCGATCATTGTCCGACCTGTTCTAGTCTTTGCTAGTGCAAAGAACCTAGCATCCATGGTCCCTTCAGTGATATGACCTCTCATCTTGCCTCTGATTCTGATTCCTTGCCACCGATGTTCCATATATTCTAGTAGATTGGATTCCAATTTGTTAATTTCTGTATTTATCTTGGCTAATTCTGAATCAGTTTTATCTTCCTCTCCTTATTGATGTAAGTCATTGAGTTGTTTCTGAATATTGATTTCTTCTAGGTGGCGTTGTTGAGCCAACAATTTAGAATATTCATTGCATTTACAGCCTAAAAAAATCAGACCGTTGTTGAACCAGCGTATATCATCTTGGAATAAGTCCCTCTGTTCCCTCCAGAAGGACCAAACGTCTTGTAGATATACTTTAAATCGATCGATTTTTAGTATCGAAGTGTTCAATTTGTAGAATTCTCTGCCTTGATCCGGCTTTTTCCTGAATGATAATATTATCACATTCATGGCATGATCGAGGCCTGGAAAGACGCTTTGCGGGAAGATGTTTGCCACTTGAAGCGCTCCTTCCAACTCTTTTGACAATAGTATGAGGTCTATGCGAGATTTCGAGGTTCTTGTCATTTGGCCCCTTCTAAAGCAAGTGTAGGTTCTTTTTGTGGGGAAGAGGCGTCTATAAGCATCAAAGGTGTGTAAAGACTGGCACAGGTCCTCAATGATTTGCTCATCTATCTCAATATATGTTGGACAGGGAGAGGGGATTTGCCATCGATCCAAATGTCTGTTGGGGGCTGCATTGAAATCTCCTGCTATTACGACTGGGATTCCTACTGGGAGACAGTTCTTTATGAATTCAAAGAACCTTCTCCTTTCCCCTACCTCATCGAATTTCAATCTTACGATCAGCTTGACATTCATCTTCCATCCATATGTTAACTTGATTGCTCGGACGATGAAACGACGTAAGTACGTCACCGAAGACGCTTGTTGGAAGTTCCCAGCCGCTTTATTCAGACGTAGTAGCACCTCCAGACTACATGCTTTCAAAACCTCGACGCGATTCAGATTGCGGAATAAGGATCTCAAGAAACGCTTATCCGGACCCACCTTAGGCGACCACTTGATCAAGCGCAACATAACGAAGTTTCCTCCCTTTTCCAACTCCGCTTTACACGATCTCAGCTGCCTCCGTGAACGTCCACAACGGACCATCGAGTTTCCGAATGCGCGAGCGACTGATTTCCAACCTCCACACCATGCATTCCCACTCTCAATCGAGAAAGAAAATGGTCCCGCCGTCTTTTCCTCCTGTGCCGTCAAGAATTTGTAGAAGTCCACCGACCAGACCCCATCCTCAGGCAACCTCATTCGGATAGGCACAACTTTCAAACCCGAATCACCGTGGACTTCGCCCTTACTCTTCGCATGTGTCTTCGCACGCTCATTCTTCCCTCTACGAATCTGCCTCCTAGCCCGCCTGGCCGCCGGTTTACCTGTTGTATTGAATACATGAGACCATCTCCGTATGTAAAAGAGTTCAAGACTAAGCAGATGAGGCGTGTCGCCGACTTCGATAGGCAGCAAGACATATGACTCCGGTCCAAACACCTGCCACCATCTATATAGGTGGGTTTGCTTCGAACCACGATTACACAAAGACAGGTGTTATTTCCATCGAGTGTCAAAGCGCCGTTTAGTTTGCCCGACATATTGCGCCTTGCATAATGGAGAGGACAAGATGTAGACCCCCCCCGTACATTCCCCGAAAGCATGCATGCCTAGACGTTGATATAGTCTCATCCATGAGTCTTCACATTTACGGAGCCAACAAATTTGCCCTATCAAGGTTAGTAGAATGATCACCAACCTAAATAGATTCTCAATGATAGAAACATGCGGCATATATTTACGAACGCCTATGAGCGCTCTACACAGTCTCCAATACTCTTCAGTTGTTCAGTTCTCCGAATCCTCCTCGCTCGCTGCTTCCTCCTCAACTTGTTCTTCATGCTTGTTCGCCTCCAACTCCTCGCCCGTCGCCTCCGTAGCTACAACATTTCCCACCTCCGTGTTGAACGCCGCATTCGATCGCTTCTCCGTAATTGCCAGAATCATATCCATTTTCTTCAGCCCTTCGAAAGGGACACTCTCCTCTCTGCAGATGTGCTTCAGTTCCTCAATGTTACGTTCTCCCAAATCACGGATATTGTCGGTAACAAACCCCATCATGTCGGGTGACGCCGGCACCTTCTTCGCTCCCCACTTACCCCTCCGAGATCTCGGTGTCTTCTTGGTTGGTGGCGTCTTCATCGGTTGGCGTCTGACGCTTAGCAGCAAGCGTTTCGGATCCAATGCGCCGTGTGACGCCGTCCGCTTGGCCGGAGTTTCCATGGGCGGACTATCTCCAATAGTTCTGTCGGCACCTCGTTTCCGCTTTTCGCTGATAATAAGGCGTTCCGCCTGTTCACTTAACGCCTCGATTTCACTGCCTTCGAACTCGTGGCTATCTTCCTCCGCAGACGCATGTACGGGTACCTTCTCCTTGCCTTTGCTCTTCGCAATCTGCGCGCTTGCCAACCGTTGGTGCAGTTCTTCACATACGTTTCCCATATGCATGCGGATCTCCATGCGAAGGTCTTTCCGCAACGCCTCCCGGGCCTCCGCCTCCAAGCGTTTCTTTTCTTCTTTCTTTTTTCTTCAGACGCCGCTCTTTCGTTAGCCTTTCTTCCTCTTCTCTCAGTACTCGCTCTTTCTCTTCACGTGCACGCATCTCCTTCTCCATTTTTGCTCTCGCTTTGTCCTCCTTCCTCTGCTGCTCTGCGTCAATGAAACTCTTCATCCCAGCGATAGAACTCGCTAGGTCTTCAAGCTGCTTCCTGACTGCCGGATCCTCGGATGCTGAACGACGTTCTCCAGTCTTGTCGTGATAAGTAGGCGAAGTAGAACGTCCACGCCGTGGCATGTGATGCCCACTACTCTCACCCACCAGCTTGGGGCACTGATTCCTATAGTGCCCTGGTTCTCCGCATTCGTAGCACACTGGTACGAACCGTCGTGGTTGCTCCCGGTAATCCCCATGGTCGCGAGGCGTTGCATGCTCGTTACGAGCATCACCATATCTATCACGACGATCTTCCCTTCCGTAGTCACGGCCACCACCTGAACTGTAGCCTGCGCCCACATCCGGGTGTCTCCCCCAATGGCCCTCCCGTCGCTGCTCTCGGTACGAAGAACCGGACATCCTTCCACAGGCCAAGTCTAGCGCACGCCGAGAAGCACAGTCTCGTACAGCGCCCACGATCCTCCACGTGTTCGCTCCCGATGCCAGTACACCGGTACAAATAAAGCAAAAGCAACAGCAAGTACAGGTGATCGAAAATCGTGCTCACTATCATGTTGGACTTATGGTTTCGACCTTTCTTTGATCACTTTCCCTATCCAATTATAGCCTATGGTGGCCGTTTCGACATTCCATTCGAGTTCTCTGCGTCTTTCCACCATGGTCATTCTTGCTGTGGCTGCTGCTACCCCGTGACATGCTTGTACCATTCGTCACTTCTCCCCCGTCTCAGAGCCAGGATTTGTTCCTTCCTGCTCACCACCGCGCAGGCATCTTGTGTCCTGCTCCCTTCGGCTCTTGCACGTCCCAGGCGAGCTCTCACGTCACGTGGACCCGGATCGTTGCTGCGGCTGGTCCTGGTGTACCACCGGTACCAGGTAGCGACGGGGGACGGGGAGGGGCGAGAGGAGGGGAGGAGGGTGGTTCCGAAGGGGGGGGGGATTATGAAAGGGGGGGGGGGTTATGAAAGGTGGTTGTCCGTGAGGGATGAGGGGAGGATCTGATTGTTGACGAGTTGCAAGCAGGAAGTTAGCTGGAAGGCAGGGAACCTTCTTTTTTTTTTTTTTTTTTTTTTTTGGAAGGTAGGGAACCTCGAAACAGTGGAGGGGTTTTCTTTGCCACAAGGGCTCTGTCCTCCTCCACGGTTTCCATTGGATGTTGTGGCTAGCCTTTCCCCAGGTGCTAGTGGTGTCTGCTCTTATCAGCATCACTAACACTGGAGGGATTTGTTTTGGGAAAAAAAAAAAAAAAAAAGCATCCAGTTCAGAAAACATTTTGTGTGGGTCCTGCCATTGTTGACTGTAGGATTCTCGGATGGCTTCCTTGACAATGGGGTCCTTTTCCTCCCGGTAGTCCCAGATGAAGGATTTCCAGGCTTCGTGTGTTCTTGATCTAATCTGTAATATGTTCTTCAATGGCTTGCTGAGCTTGCGGCAATCCAAATTGGTGGGTTTTCCTTTCAAAAGAGCATCTGGTCCCCCAGGCCAGCATAAGGATCTGCAGTCTCATGTATGAGAAGAGATTAGTGGCGAAGGGCGACCATTGCGCCATCAAGTGTTGTTTTTTGCCGAGCAAGAGGAGCCCAATGTCCCATGGGATATGGAAGCCAGTGAGGGAGTTGAATGCTGCGTCCCACCACCGCCACAGGTGCGTGACCATCAGGAAGGCCAACAGGCAGTGTTCCAGTGTAGCCCTCGCCGGCGGAGACGATCTGCCGCAATAAGCACAGATGGGGGACAGCAGCCCCTTCTGTTCAAGGTCGGTCCTGGACACGAGCCAGTCGGGGGTGGGCAGACAGCGGTGAAGGATTTGCCATGGCAGGGCTCTGAGGTTGGTTGGCATGATCTTGGAGTATTTAGCCCAGGGCAAGCTCACTATCAGTTCTGGATCCAACGGCGAGTCCCGGGCCCATCTCCCCCTCGTCTGCCCCCCAACGCACACACACACACACACACACACACACACACACACACACACACACAAACGACACACACGCACACACATTTTCATCTCTGTCCTTCTTTCTGTTGTTTTATTTATCTTAAGTTTCCTCCTTCCTTTTATTCCAAGCACTTTCTGGTTACCTAAGCGAGCACCTTCAAGTAGTGCCAAATAGTCGGTGGTTGACGAATCTACAGGGATGGCAACCTGACAGCCAATCCTCCATTCAGGGGAGCAATGTATCCTGGTCCAGGATCCTTTGGCCAAATGGTTGGAAGTATTGTGTGGGTATATATGCTGGACCTGTAACAATTACGACTTGCCGGGGGAAAAGGAACGGGAGTTGTGCTCCCTGGAATGGACAAGGAGGCAGAACCATAAGGACCTGCTTCAGCCAAAAACAAACGAGGGGGAGATGACGAAAACCCACCCCTAACATAGATTCTCGAAGCATATATAAGGAAAGGAGGACCATCCTACTGGGTCAGTAGTGCACAAGGAAGTGGAAGGACGCAGTTTCTAGGCCAACATGCTCTTTTTAACTGGGCTCGCACTGAAAGGCGACGCTGTTGGCGATCTGGTCCCTTAGTAGTGCGTCAAGGAGACGGAAGAGGGGGTGCTTACGATACAAGGAGAAGAAGAAAAAAACTTCGAAAATGAGACAACTCTTGTAAAAGACTTCACAAGCAACAGGACTGGAGACCCCCAGAATAGAAGTGGCATGTGTATTCCAACCCCAAAAACAGGAAAAAAACAAACAAACATTGCTTCACGGCGTTCACGCAGAGAACAAAACCGACTCCTACGAAAAACCATGCACACGGGGGACTGAGGATGTTTGCAGGGCGGCAGCCCATGAGAGGCTGCACATAAAAGACTGCATATGAAAGAGAGTGCTGATAAAAGACAGCATGGCCTTGAGATGGCATGTTCAAACTGACCAGGCCCAGGTAAATTCATAGTTATTTCCTCGTCTGAGTTGATTGGGATTCCAAGCCGACGTCTGTATTTCAACAGTTCATTGGTGTACCAACTGAGCTACAGGTAGGCCCATTGGTGGGGGATGTAACAAGGTTGAAAGGTTGACGGACAAACTTCAAAAAGAGTGAGCGACGAACAGCATGAAGGAAGGGACATGGTTCAATTTCTACGCAGACTGGGGCTGGGAGAGAGAGGGTGGGTGAGTTGATAGGCAGGGTGAAGGGAGGAGGAACAATTCCTCGAGCAATGAGACGGCACACCCCTCATTTCTTTCATTCACGATTAACTGCAAAAAGCACGACAACGACCTGGCCTTCACGTGGGCAAACTGTCCCCTCCCCCTCCCTTCCCCGCTCCCCCCCCACCCACCACCACCACTACCCCAACCCCGACCTCGTCCCTCCCTCCCTCCCCCCTCCCTCCCTTGGCACCAGATCCATGGCTGGACCCTCATAGTATATAAGTCCTACAAACGCTCCAGACTGTGCAATGCAGAGCCGTTGCCATTTCTCAGTTCATCACGAGAGTCTGATCAAATTATTTTGAGCCCGTATTTGGTCTTCAATATATAGTATGTACATGTCCGCTCACAAAGAGATAACCATACCATTACAGTAGTACCATTGAATCTACAGACACAAACCAGAAGGTAGTGTCGCTACAAGGGCAACGGCTGAGTCACACTGGGTTGGCACAGAGATGCTGGGCTCAAATGAGAGTCACACTGGGTCGCTGTACAATACAGCATAATCTGAGGACCCCCATTTGGGTCGACCAGGCCTGGTCATTGCCCATGATTCTACGATTGCTTGGAGGCGTGGAAATGTTCACGGGACACTGGCCCCAGTTGGCACCACACAACCTTCCATCCCGCCCGCAGCACGAGCCTCCGCAGAGCGCACAGAGCATGGACATGCCTGCACAGCTGGGGCTTCTTCAGTTCTGCTGGCTTCCCTGACCATCTCCACTTCACCACAACCCCCCCCCCCCCCCCCCCCCC